GCAGGACTACACGTCGCTGAAGGACGAGTGGAAGGCGGTGCACCAAGCGGAGAGGCGTTGGGGTGTCGATGGCGACTCGGCCCCCATGGAGGTGGGCGCGCTTACCTCGAAGGGCAAGGGCAAGGATGGCGGCAAAGGTGAGGGTAAGGATGGCGGCAGAGGCAAAGGCAAAGGAGATGGTAAGGGTAAGGACGGCGGCAGAGGCAAAGGCAAGGGAGATGGCAAAGACAAGAACAAAGTCGAGGCCAGCAAGAAGGAGAGGAAGTGTTTCTTCTGCAAAGAGAAGGGACACGAGCGCAAGGACTGCCCGAAGTTCACCACGTGGCTCGAGGAGAAGAAGAAGGCGGGACACGCTGGAGGCTCGGGGACGGCCGCGGCGGTCAACACGGTACAGCAGGACGACGGCTGGGTGTTCATGGTCGACGAGGAGTTCGAGGGCGACGAGCTGTGCGAACTCATCATGATCGACTCGGGCGCCTCGGCAAACGTATGTCCTCGAGATCACGTGTCGGAGAACGGCCTGCGAGAGGAAGCACATCCGAGGCGCATGACAACGGCGACTGGCGAGCTGATTGCGCAGCACGGGCGACGTCGGGTTTCATATGAGACGGAGTTCGGTAAGATCACGACGGACTACAGGGTGCTAGACGTGAAGGGGCCGATCTGGTCGCTGGGCGCGATGGTCGAGTCGGGGTGCGACGCCTACTTCACGAAGGGCAAGTCGTGGATCGTCAAAGACGGCAAGGAGTTGGAGCTGATCAGGAAGGGCAACTTGTTCTACGCGATCGCTCGGCCTTCGAAGATCGGAGGCTCGGACGCGCTGGAGCTCAACCCTTTGACGCAGGCGGAGATCGAGCAGAGAGCGCTGGCCAGAGAACGCGCGGCGTTCGGGGCGGCTGGACCAGCAGCCGAGGCCACGCTTGCAGAGGATGGAGATCCAGCAGTCCGCATCAAAGTGCCGACAGGACCAGCCACGCCGACGGCAGAGGAACGGGCTCAACACGAGTCCGCGGGGCACGTACCCTACAGGAGCTGGTGCAGCCACTGCGTGGCGGCGAGGGCGGCGGATAAACCTCATCGACGAAGCGAGGACCCGACGGGCCTGAGCGCAGAGGAGGCAGCGATCCCACGCATCGAGTTCGATTTCGCGGAGATCGGACGAGAATCGGATGCCAGCCCTGGCATTCCGTCCCTCAACGGAGTGGACGTCGGGTCGGAGAGCTTGTCGGCGACTCTGTGCCCCAGCAAGGCCTTCAGCGAGTACCTGGTGGAGACGATCCTGGCGTTCGTGGATGCGCTGGGCCACAACGCGGTACTGCTTCACTCGGACCAGGAGCCAGTGCTGGTGCAGTTGCTGAAGGCGGTGCAGAGCAAGAGGGTGAAGCGGACTCTGGTCAGGCATGGGCCGAGAGGCAGCCACCAGAGCCAGGGCAAGATAGAGGGCGCGAACAGGGTCATTAACGGCGTCCTGAGAGCGATTTGGATCAACATGGAGGAGCACATGGGCGAGAAGGTGTCGACCGACAGCATCCTGATCGCCTGGGGGGTCAGGCACGCGGCATGGAGCTTGACGAGGTTCCAGGTGAAGAGCGACGGCCGTACCCCCTACGTGCGGATCTTCGGCAAGGCCTACGGCGGGGAGGTGCTTCCCTTCGGCGAGCGCGTGATGTACAAGTACACGGCGGTGCCCAGTGGCAACCTGGACCAGAAGTGGGCGCGCGGGGTGTGGGTCGGCAAGGCACCGCTGACGGACGAACACCTCGTTCTGACCGTGGACGGCGTGAAGAAAGCGAGATCGGTACATCGACTGCCAGTCGACGAGCGGTACGTAAAGGAGGAGCTGGCGAAGGTGAAGGGTCTGCCGTGGAACGGCACGGCATCGGATCTGAAGGCGCCGATCGTGTCGCAGCAGGACCAGGGGCCATCGGGGCACAGGAGGCTCTACCTGACGAGGGCGATCGTGCAGAAGTACGGGGCTACGCCTGGGTGTTCGGGCTGCGCGGGGCTGGGGCCACATACTGAGGTGTGTCGAGCGCGGCTGGAGAAGTTGGTGGCAGACGCGGCGGCAGGGCCGAGAGGTATCGCAGTCGGCGCGCCGCTGGCGTCGAGACCAGACCCAGGGCCGCCCGCAGGCGCTGCGGAACCATCGTCGGCAGCGAGCGGCGACGCTCCCGCGACACCGGCTGGGGGCGACGGCGGCGGAGGAGCCGCGGCCGAGAGCATGGAGGTCGACAGAGCGGGCGCTTCGTCACAGAGGGGTCGGTCCGCGGCGGAGGCCTTTCCGCAGGCGGCCCCCGAGCGCCCGACGGCGAAGATGAGGTCGCAACCCCCTGTGGCGATCCCAGCCGTGGGAGGCGCAGGCACGGTCGTCGTCACCGAGAGCGAGGCGAGGTCCAGCACCGACGACGTGATGATCGGGGGCCTGCACGTGATCGATGGCGTGGACGTGGTGGCGATGCTCATCCCAGAGGAGGACGAGTGGCGGCTCGCGGCGATGGACGACAGCAACTTCGAGACCATCTCCGACGACAGCCAGAGCGACATGATCGGCGAGGTGAACTACGAGGACCCCGCGTCGGCGGAAGGGATCGTGGCGTACGACTCGAGGACTGGCGAGCAGCTAGACAGCGAAGAGGTGCGCAAAGGGAGGTCCAAGGAGCTGCGCGACCTGGCGGAGTTCGAGGTGAAGGTCGAGGTGGACGAGTCCGAGATGATCAGCAAGCCAGGGAAGAAGATCTGGTCGAAGTGGGTGGAGACGCGGAAGGACCCGAACAGCGCCGAGGTCAGGAGCAGGCTGGTCGCAACCGAGATCAACACGGGCGAGGTCAGGACGGACTGCTTCGCTGCGACGCCGCCGTTGAAGTTCGTGAGGCTGATACTGGCGTGGGCGGCGAGCTACAGTCCCAGAAGGAACAGCGCGGGGGCCAAGATGATCCTGCTGCTGTTCGACATCTCTGTGGCGTTCTTCCACGGCCTGGTGCGGAAGGTCCTGTACGTGGTACCGCCGAAGGACCTGCGCAAGAAGGGCAAGGTGTGGAGGCTGCTTCGGAGCCTATATGGGACGAGGGACGCGAGCCAGGTGTTCCAGACGTACGTGGCGGACAACCTGAGCGAGCACGGCTTCGACAGGAACGCGGTGGTCCCGTGCCTGTACTGGAGTAGCGAGCTGGAGGCGCTGGGGGTTCACTGGGGCGACGACTTCATCTACGCCCTGCCGAACGACAGCGCCGACGACCTCGAGCAGCTGATGAGGGAAGTGTTCAAGGTGAAGATCTGCGAGCGAGTGGGGCCCAACTGCAAGTCCAGTGCGGCGTTCCTGCACAGGACGCTTTCATGGAGTTCGAAGGGTTTTACATGGGCGCATGACCCGACTCACACCGTGGCGATGGCCAAGGCTTTCGGCTTCGACGGGCAGACGCGCTTGGACCAGGAGAAGTGGGTCGTGACGGTCGCGCCGGGCTCCAAGACGGTGGGCAAGACTCGTGATGCTGCAGACCCCCTTGACGAAGAAGGAGCAGCGCTATACCGAGCGCTCGTGGGGACGGCACTCTACGTCGGTCAAGACCGTCCCGAGGCGCAGTACGCGACGAAGGAAGTCGCTCGCTACATGTCGACACCAACGAGGTCGGCGTGGTGTGCCCTCAAGCGGTTATGCAAGTACTATTCGGAGGTGCCGTTGCTCGTGTGGGAATTCAACTACCAGAAGATGCCAGAGGACGTGAGAGTGGTCACGGACGCGAACTGGGCAGGCGAGCTGGAGGCACTGCGTTCTACCTCTGCTGGCTGGGTATACTTCGGAAGCCATCTACTTGAAGCCTATTCCTCGACGCAACAGATAGTGGCCTTATCGACGGCGGAGAGTGAGTACATATCGATAACGAAAGGAGCTGCACACGCGTTGGAGGTCAGGAGCGCGCTCGCCGAGTACGGCTGGGTCAAGAAGGTGATCTGCGAGGCGGACTCGTCGGCTGGACGGTCAATGGCCACAAGACGTGGCGTGGGTCGAGTGCGTCATCTGGACGCGCGCCTGTTGTGGCTACAAGAGTTGTGCGCAGACGGCACGATCGAGATGCGCGTGAAGCCTGGGGAGTCCAACGAGGCGGACCTGGGCACCAAGATGGTCGACATACAGAGGGTGACCAAGTTGATGAAGACTACGTCGTTGCGGCCTCCTGGGGGCTGGGGCTGCTGGGTCGTGGCAGCGGCGTTGGAGAAGGCGACTGCAGCAAACGATTGCAGCGTCGACTTGGTCAAGTACGACGGGGCGATGGATCGGACCAGCGGGAGTGTCTTCGAGAGCTGGGTGCTGGTAGCCCTCATCGGCATGGGCGTGCTCTTGTTGTTCCTGGGGCTCGCGTGTGGCTATGCCGTGGGAAGGTGCTGCTCGCCGAGGAGCGCCACTGGTGAACGGCGCTGTGTGGAGTCCACGCAGACGGAGGAGCTCGAGATCATTCCGTACTGGGAGTGGCTGCTGAACGACCTGCAGAAGGAGCTGCTCACCAGGGGCGTAAAGGCGATCCCGAAGCTGAAGGGCCATTGTGTTCAGAAGTTGTTGGAGATCGACCAGGTGCGCCTGGTGAGGCCTCAGCACTGGCCTCGGGTCAAGCGAGTGAGGCAGTTTTGAACGTGGATTCGCGCCGATGGCTCTTCTCGGAGCGTTTAAGTCCTGGCCAGGCCTGCAAAGCAGATCGGGCAGCATCGGTGCGTTTCGGAAGCGTGCGCCTTGAGCACGCGAGGACTACAGCCTGACAGACGCCGAGTCGACTTGCGATTGAGCATGCGCGAGTCGAGAGGAGGTGCGGCGGTTTCTGGGATGTCAGGGGCAATGTAGTCCAAACCTGGCTGACACATTAGGGTCCTGCGTGGTAGCATGATGTTGTAGCAGAGGGGCTTGTGCAGCACAGTGTACAGCAGCACGAGCAGCAGCAGCTTAGCAGCATCAGGACTGGTGACCTGTCGTTGACGCTTTGGCTCAAGTCAAAAGGATGTCACAGTCCGTTCGGCTGACGCCCACTCCGCGCAGTATTCCTTATTTTTCGTCGAAAACCCCCCTGTAGGGGGACAGGCCCGACTTAAAGCAAGACCCTCGGAGCCCGCCCCCAGGCCGCCGGAGCGGCGCGGCGGAGGGCTGCCTCGAGGGCCGGCTCTGCGGCCTTCTCCGAGGCGCCCCTCGGTGGGGTGCTCGCGCGCGCGAGCGCATGCGCCGGCCGCGCATGCAGCTGAGGCGCTGAAGTACGGAACATTTTTTGGTTTCTCTCCTCTTCTTCTTCCTCCTTCTCCTCCTCCTGATTCTCCTCCTCCTCCTTCTCCTCCTCTTTCTCCTCTTCCTCCTCCTCCTCCTGACCCTCTTCTCTCCCCGCCACCTCCTCCTCCTCCTCCTCCTCCTCCTCCTGATCCTCGTCACTCCTCTCCTCCTCCTCCTCCTCCTCCGCCTCCTCCTCCTCCTCCTCCCTCGTCCTCCTCCTCCTCCTCCCGGCCTCCTGCGAGGACGAGTAGAAGGAAGGGAAGTTACGGAGTTACGTGTGTGGCGGCCATGTCGGTGACGAATGAAACAGCAAGATGTTCTGCTGCTTCTTGCCGTGGTTTCCCTTGGCAAGCTCGGCCTTGCTCCGGACCTTTGGCCAAATGCCACGTCTGATGTTATATCTGAATGTGTGTATATATATGTATATGAGTAGATCGTCGATCCGATTATCTGGGGAGTGGTGGGGACGAGGCACGTTATTATTACGTGATAATCGTTATAGCCATAACAGTACGAATATTATGACTGAAGCCAACACTATTAATCATTCACGTGCTGAACGTACAAGTAGAACAGGAGTACGAGTGGAATTAATTTGAACAGTATTGACAACGATAATAACAACATGCGATTAATAGTGCGATGCTGATGAATGTGATGATGCTGATCCTGATGCTGATGCTGATGCTACTATTGATGATGGTGTTGGTGTTGGTCTTGTTGACGATGACAATGTAGACGCTGCTGATGAGACTGATGATGACGATGATGATGATGTTGATGATGATGCTGATGATGCGGATGACGATGCTGATTATGATTATAATGATGATGATTGTGATGCTGACGATGACGATGCTGATGATGATGATGATGATGATGATGATGATGATGATGTGGATGCTGATGATGCTGATGCTGCTGCTGATGATGATGCTGATGTGGATGCTGCTGCTGATGATGATGATGATCATGATGCTGACGATGATGACGATGCTGTTGATGATGATGATGATGATGTTGATGATGATGATGATGCTAATTCTGCTTTGATGATGAAGAAGATGATGCTCATGATACTGATGCTGATGCTGATGCTGCTGCTGACGATGGTGGTGGTGGTGGTGGTGTTGACGATGCCAGTGTAGATGCTGCTGATGATAATGATTATGATGATGACGACGAGGATGCTGATTCTGATGATGCTGCTGCGGCTGCTGATGATGATGCTGGTGGTGATGGTGACGATGATGATGATGCTGATGATGCTGATGATGCTGATGACGATGATGATGCTGATGATGATGCTCATGACGGTGATCTTGTTGTTGATGATGATGATGCTATCGCTGATGCTGATGCTTATGATGATGATGCTGCTGCTGCTTCCCATGATGATGCTGATGCTGATGCTGATGATGCTGATGATGACGATGATGATGCTGATGATGATGCTGGCGCTGATGATGCTGCTGCTGAGGATGACGAGGATGATGAATCTGATGCTGCTGCGGATGCTGCTGCTGATGATGATGCTGCTGCTGCTGATGATGATTATAATGATGATGCTGATATCTTGCTGATGGTGCTGCTGCTCATAATGGTGATCTTGTTGTTGATGACGATGCTGCTGATGCTGATGATGATGCTGATGATGCTGACACTGCTGATGCTGCTGATGATGATGCGGATGATGATGACCATGTTCATGATGCTGATGATGATTATCATCATCATGATCATACTTATGCTTATGATGAGGATGGTAATGAGGATGATTATCATGCTGCTGATGATGCTGATGATGTTGATGCTGCTGCTGATGATGATGATGATGTCGCTGATGGCGCTGATGACGATGGTGATGATGATGATGATGATGATGATGACGATGATGATGATGATGATGATGATGACGATGCTGATGCTCATGATGATGATGATGATGAGGATGATGATGATGATGATGATGATGATGATGATGATGTTGACGATGATGATGTTGATGATGATGGTGATGATGATGATGATGATGATGATGATGATGATGATGACGATGATGATGATGCTGATGCTGATGCTGATGATGCTGACGATGAGGATGCTGCTGATGGTGATGGTGATGATGATTCTCCAAATAGGCTTGCCCATATAGAAGTCCTAACTCAAGCCCTACTATATGGTCCGTTGCCCTCCCCCACCAAATTCATATGCCCCCCCCTAATTCCTATGGCTATGCCGATGCCTATGCCTATGCCTTCTCCCTATCTCATATGCCTACCTACGCCTGTGCATATGCCTATGCCTATGCCTATCCCTATGCCTATGCCTATGCCTATGCCTATGCCTATGCCTATGCCTATGCCTATGCCTATGCCTATGCCTATGCCTATGCCTATGCACCACTTCTGAGCGCTCCTATGCCTATGCCTATGCCTATGCCTATGCCTATGCCTATGCCTATGCCTATGCCTATGCCTATGCCTATGCCTATGCCTATGCCTATGCACCACCTCTGAGCGCTCCGCCGCCTATGCCTATGCTTGCTTGCGCGCTTGCTTGCTTGCCTGCTTGCTTGTGCGCTTGCACGCTTTCTCGCTTGCTTGCTTGCTTGCTTGCTTGCGCGCTTGCGCGCTTGCTTGCACGCTTGCTTGCTTGCTTGCTGAGTTGCGGAGTCCAAGCATGCTTGATTCCTGAGATTCCTGGGTTTGAGTCGTCTGATATATTTGGGGTCGACGCTGGCTGATATGATGATCATGATGATGCTGACGATGATGATGATGATGATGCTGATGATGCTGATGATGCTGCTGATGATGATGATGATGACGACAATGATGATGAGGATGAGGATGAGGCTGATGATGACGATGATGATGCTGATGCTAAGGATGATGCTGATGATGGTGCTGATGATGATGATGCTTCTGCTGGCTATGCTGATGCTGACGATGATGCTGATGCTGATGCTGATGCTTATGATGCTGTTGATGATGATGATGATGCTTACGCTGATGATGATGATGATGATGAGGATGATGATGATGATGATGATGATGATGATGCTGATGATGATGATGATGATGATGATGATGATTCTGATGCTGATGATGCTGATGCTGATGCTGCTGCTGATGATGATGACGATGATGATGATGCTGATGCTGATGCTGATGATGAAGCTGATGGTGATGATGATGATGATGATGATGATGACGATGATGATGATGATGATGATGATGATGATGATGATGATGATGATGATGATGATGATGATGATGATGATGATGATGATTATGATGATGATGATGATGATCGGCGACGATCATGCTGGTGATGGTCACGATGAGGGTGAGGAGGAGGAGGAGGAGAACGGGGGGAGAGGGTCAAGAGGACGAGATGAGGGAAGAGGATCAGGAGAAGGAGGATCAGGAGGATGATGAGGAGGAGTAGGAAGCGGTGGAGGAGGATGAGGATGAGGAGGAGGACGAAGACGATGAAGACAACCATCATAATACGAAGACGACGAAGACTAATATGAATTGGGCTCATACTATAAGCCAGAACGGTAACAATAATCACATCATTGTGACACATAGTCAGTATAACAATAATACGAACAAGAAGAGTCATATGAATCATGCGACTATTGGGAATAATGGTAACACTAGCTGTATAAGGGAGACGAGCAATACTACTAAGCATAGTACTGACAATACTGGTACTACTATTCACAAGGATAGTCCTAACACCAATCATAAGAGTAGTGCTAACAATAGTTGTAACAACAATGCTAACAATAATATCAATCTTACGACAGCTAATCATAGTATTAGCTATCGTTGACTCCAAATATAGGAGGACAGGAGGAGGACGAGAGGAGGATGAAAGGAGGACGAAAGGAGGACGGGAGCAGGACGGGAGGAGGACGGTAGGTGCAAAATCAAGCAAGCGCAAGCAGGCAAGCGGAATCAGGCAAACGCAAGCGAGCAATAACAAGCAAACAAGAGCCAGCTATCAAGTGCAAGCAAGCAAGGGCAAGCAAGAGCAAGCAGGCAAGCAAGAGCAAGCAAGCGAGAGCCAGCGATCAAGTGCAAGCAAGCAAGAGCAAGCATAGGACTCGCCATTGGAAATAGCTGGGGGGTGCCATTGGAAAAACGGGGGGGTGTCCTTGGAAAAAGGGGGGGAGTGGGGTGCCATTGGAAATATGGGGGGGGGGCGTTGGAAAAAGGGGGGGGGTCCTAAATACCAATCACTTATGATGAGCTAGGACTCCTATAGGGCAAGCCTATTTGGAGAACATGAATATGAAGAAGACAACTACTACTAATCCTATTATTAATCGTAGTCATACTCAGAAGAATAGTACTACTATTAATCATCCGAATACTTCTGGTACTAATCATGATATAAGAAGAGCAATGATACGACGAATAATAATAATAGTAATAATAATAATAATAATGATAATAATAATAATAATAATAATAATAATAATAATATTAATAATACTAATAATAATAACAATAATAATAATAATAATAATACTGAAGCAGACGAGTAATATCAATGAGAAGAGGAGGAGGAACGGTGGCAGGAAGAGGAGGAGGAGGATGATGTGGATGAGTGCTGCCGCCGCTCCCCCGCCCCCCCCGTGAGGGTGGCCGCCCGAAGAGCAGGCAGGAGCGGGCGGCCGAGCGGGCCGAGAGCCGGGAGAGCGCCGCCGAGATGTCTCTGGCGATCCCGGAGGACCAGGCGCGGGAGATGAGGCGGCGCGCCCGGCGTCCGCCTTTCCTCGGCTGCTCGCCTCTGGCTCCGCCCTCCTCCACCTCCGCGTCCGTCCTCCTGTTTCTCCTCCTCCCGATCATCCTCCTCCACCTCCTCCTCCTCCTCCTCCCTCCTCCCTCCTCCTCCTCCTCCTCCTCCTCCTCCTCCTCTTTATCCTCTCTCTCCTCTCTCTCCTCCTCCTCCTCCTCGCTCCTCCTCGCTCCTCCCTCGCTCCTCCTCGCTCCTCGCTCCTCCTCCTCCTCCTCCTCCTCCTCCTCCTCCTCCTCCCTCCTCTTCGTCCACTGGGGGTTAGAAGGCTGTCTGACTGCTTGTTTGTTTGCATGTGTGAGCGTGTGCGCTTGTGTGTTTCCTCCTCGCCCCGCCCCTGCGTTCGTCACCCACAGGGCTCGACCTCCTGGGGCCGTGCTCGGCCCCACGGCAATCAGGGAGCGGCCGGGGACGAGAAGAGCCGGTGCGCGGGGAAAGGTCGAGACCCCCCCGGGAACGCCGCGCTGGCCGCTCGCAGTGCGCGGCGTGCCGCCCGGGCCGCCGCGGCGCCGCGCGGAGCACACGCTCCCAGCCGCGAGAGGTCCGGAGGTGGCCCAGCGCATCGGAAGAGGAAGCTCAGCCACGCTCAGGAGGAGGAGGAGGAGGAGGAGGAGGAGGAGGAGGAGGAGGAGGAGGAGGAGGAGGAGGAGGAAAGGGGGAAGAGGAAAGGGGGAGGAGGAGGAGGAGGAGGAGGAGGAGGAGGAGGGAGGAGGAGGAGGAGGAGGAGGAGGAGGAGGAGGAGGTGAGGAGGAAGAGGAGGAGGAGGAGGAGGAGGAGGAGGAGAAGGAGGAGGAGGAGGAGGAGGAGGAGGAGGAGGAGGAGGAGGAGGAGGGTGAGGAGGAGGAGAGGATGAGGAGCATGTCGGAGAGCGCACCCAGGTGCGACCACAGCCGCAGGAGCGAGCCTCACCGCGATCAGGTAGATTATGGAGGCGTTCGCAGAAACGCGTATCGGCAAGGGCACCTCGCGCAAGCACAGTGCCGCCGACCCTGAAATGAACGTCAGTCCGACGAGCCAGAATCGAAGCCGTTCTGTGACGGGTTTTGCTCGTCGGCTGCTCCCTCAGAACTGCTGCACGAGGGACTCTCGAGGAGGAACTCCAACCTCGCCCCCTGCAGCACCACTCGGGCGCCTGCCGCACGCTGCGAGGAAGATGAGGATCTCCCGCAGGCGCCCGAGGGCCGCTCACCTCCGCCTCCCCGTCGGGGGCGTCGTACGCGAAGGCGACGCCGAAGCTGGGGACGAAGGGAGAGGCGTCGAAGCGGAGGGGCGTGCGCTTGGGCAAGGAGGCGTCGCCCACCTCCATGGCGCAAGCCACATCCGCCGTGGAGTCCAGACCAACGTCGGGAGCATCAGGGTGGTGAAGAGCAGCCCGAGGAGCAGCTGCGCCCCGAAGATGTGCTTCCGACGCGCTGGCACCTGCGATACTATCGTCCGTCTCCGCGTGAGGCCCGTCGTCTCCGCCGACCGCCGCTGGCACGGTCGCCATCGCGACCGTCAGGATGGTCTCGTCTTCGTCGCCGAGGGCCAGCATGCTCGTCTTGAAGCGGAAAAGCGCCCGCACGAACGGCGCGATAAGGTTGGCATGCTCAGCGTGCCCGTACTTTCCGCGCAGCGCGTGGCTTCCCAGGTCGTGCGACTGCTCCGCCACCTTCCCGTCCTCGTCCTCGGGCACGTCGGGCGCGTGGGAGCACGGGTCGTGCTCGCTCATATGCTGCGCGTCCGAGCCTTCGTGGGGACGACGGCCAGCGCCAGTAGCACCACGAGGAAGTACACCAGCATCTCGACGAACATCGGCGTCGTCGTCAGCGCGAGGAACACCACCAGGACGAGGAAGGTCCTCGCCAGGATGGGGGGGTTGGCCAGCGACAGCCTCCTGGGGTGCGCCAGCGGGGAGGGGCGAGGCGTCTAGGGAAGCGTCTCTCGAACCGACCTCGGCGGCCTTAGGTCGGCTTGGGGCGCAGGCCGCAGGTGAGGGCTGGCTCGGGGCGGCCCTGGCACGGCCCCCAACCTGCGCTGTCACGCGCTGGGCCTCCGCGTCCAGCTGCACGCCGACGGTCAGCGTGGTTCCGCACGGGGTGGGCTCAGCGCCACCTTTGCCGAACCTGGGCCCTGCAGAGGCCCACGCGATGTCCGCCGCGGGCGCGTGGGCGAATCCGCTTGGCGGGACTCGCTGAGCGTGCCGCGCGGCGTTCCGGCGGTGGCGGCGGGAGCCAGGGACAGCGCGTCGTTGGGCAAGCAGCACCAGCGCCGGCCTCGCCGCCAGCTCGCGGTCCCTCCAGGAGCCAGGCTCGCCGCGAGCCTGCACGAGGGGCGAGATGGCAGCCTCGCGGGCGGCTCGGCGCCGCTGTCTCGCCGCGCGACGGGCGGCGGTGGCGCCGGGCGCGGCGACGTCGCGCCACCTGGACTCCGAAGGCCGCCCCACAGTCTCGAGCCACCCCCCGTCGCCATTCCCGGTGAGCCACAGCCCCGCTCCCGCCTCCCTCACGCCCGCCACGTTGCCCCGTGCCCGTGAATCTGGGGCTGCACCTGCGGCCTGCCCGGGAGAAAGGGGGCGGAGGATCGGGCCCGGGGGGCAGCGGGGCAGGGGGGCACAGGTCGACTACAGTGGGGGCTCGTGCGAAGAAGCGCCCTGCTTGCCTCCAGGGTGCCCTGGGTTTCCCGGGTTTCTTTGGTTTCGCTATGGGAGCGCGTGGCGTGCCCACGCCCAAAGTCAGTGGACGCCCCGGGATCTCAGGTTCGGGTTTCTTGCGGAAGGTTTCTTGTGGACCAGCCTGCTGTATGGGGGGGGGGGCCTTCTCAGAAGAACCCCTGCTTCTCAGAAGGCGCGGGCCTCGCTTATATAGATGTGTGCCCATCCTCGATATCAGGCGCAGGTTTTTTCCCACGGCATGGCGACGCCCCCGAGCCCCCCATTGCAATGGTGACGCCGATGCTGCCGACTGCATTTTTCTGATTCCCCCCGCGGGCCGCGCTGCGCGCGCCCATCAACCTCCTCCTCCCCCCCCCTCCTCCTCCTCCTCCTCCTCCTCCTCCTCCTCCTCCTCCTCCTCCTCCTCCTCCTCCTCCTCCTCCTGCCCTTTTTTCTGGGCGAGGGGGTCGGATGAAGTCTTGCGCTGGTTTTCGTGGAAGGCTGTGGGGCAGGTGCCTTCTAAGAAGCAGCCTCCTTCCGAGGCGCCTTCCCCCCTGCCCCTGCCCCCTCGTGCGCCCGCCGCCCAGGCGCCGGCCGCCGGAGGTCTCTGCCCGCCTTGTCCCCTCCCCGAGGATCGAGGGTTCCGAAGGGGGGCGGGGGCCCCGGGCGCCGGGGCTGCCCCCAGAGCCAGCTCCGGCGCCGCGCACGTGCCCGCTGGTCGCTGAAAGCAGGTCTATCTGGGTGCCCAGCTTCCAATCTGCTCTGAGGGCGCCTTCCCACTTCAAGAGTCGATTAGTTGTCCCTCGTCCTCGGGGGGCGGGCGGGAGCCAAGTCTGCTTCCATCGCTTTCCTGCTTCGTGTTTCTACCCGCTCCTTCCGACAGAGGGGTAATGGGGGGGCGATGAACGTCGGCCACGCGCAAGGGGGCGTATGGGGGGAAGGGGGAAGACTTCTTAGAAGCACCCCTGCTTCTCAGCAGGCGCGGGCCTTATCTATAGATGTAAGGCCGGCGTCTTCTAAGAAGCAGCCGCCTTCTAAGAAGTCTCCCCCCTCCCCCCCTTGTGCGTGCCGCCAAACATTGAGGGGGGAGAAAAAATGTGAAGAAGCGCGCTCGTGGCACACTTCTCCCTAAGAGGGGGGGGGCCCCCGCTTGAAGCTACCCCGCCCACCTCCCTTGGAAAAGGGGGAGGTCATCCAAAGCCCCCCCCCCTTCTCTTTTCTTTTGCGGGCATTTCGGAGCTAGGGGGGGGCCCTAGCTAAAGTGGGGGGGGGGGAGCTTCCAAGCTCCCCCCCCCTCCTTTTTTTCCGGGAGCCAGGGTCAGCCTGGGCTCCCTTTTCACAGGGGCGGGGGGCTTCGGACGCTACCCCCCCTCCCTATTTTTCGCAGCCGAGATTGCCTTGCCAAGGGGGGGGGCAGCTTCAACGCTACCCCCCCCCTCTCCCTCCTCATCCGGAGCCCGAGGCCAGACCAGGCTCCCTTTTCAAACGTTGGGGGGGGCTTCCGAAGCGCCCCCCCTCCATTCTGCCTTTCGCCGCCGGGACTGCGTTGCCAAGGGGGGGTTCGAAAGTACGCGCCTCACCTTTGTTTTTTCCTGGGGCCGAAAGTTCGCTCAGGCTTGCCTTTGCACGGGGGGGGTGCGCTTCGGAAACCATCCTCCGCCCCGCTCCCGTGGCGCTCTTTTGGTTTGCAGCGCTCCTTTGGTTTTCAGTGCCCTTTGGGTTTTCGGCGCTCCTGTGGTTTTCGGCGCCCTTGGGTTTCGGCGTCCTGTGGTTTTCGGCGTTCCTTTGTCTTCGGCGCTTCCTCGGTTTTTGGCGCCCTTTCGGTTTTTGGCGTCTCTTTCGTTTTCGGCGGCGTCTTGGATTTCTCGGCGTCCTTTTGGTTTTTGGGCGCCCCTTATTGTTTTTGGTGCCCTTCTGGTTTTCGGCGCTCCTTTGGTTTTCGGCGCCCTTCTAGTTTATTGCGCATGTTGTTGTTGTTGTTGTTGCTGTTGTTGTTGCTCTTGCAGTTGCAGTTGCAGTTGCAGTTGCTGTTGTTGTTGTTGTTGTTGTTGTTGTTGTGGTTGTTGTTGTTGTTGCGGTTGTTGCTTGTTGCTGTCGATGATGTTGATGATGCTAGTCATGTCGATGATGATGGTGCTGGCGATGATGGTGATGATGACGATGATGATGGTGCTGGTGATGATTGACAAAGCCGTGGGCTGGACATAAGACACACCGATACACTTGCGCAGACTGCCAGTGGCCTGGGGCTTGACCCCCCCCCTACCTAGAATTGGTAAGCTGCGAGCACCTCCAGCCCCCAGCCACC